GTAGATAAGTGTTAAAAGATTATAATGAATGAAATTTAGGGATGATTTTGTAGGAAATGGAGTTGTAGGAAAGGGAATTTAGGTTTGATAAGGAATTTAGATTTGATATTTTAGAATTGAATGGAATTTCAATGTGTATATGAATTTATATATTGCTCTATTTGTTTGCATTTTTACTTTGCATTTTTTAGTTTAATAAATTCGTTTTTAGTTTATACTTTGCATTTTTTGGTTTAATAAGTTTGTTTTCATTTCACCATTAAATTATATATGAGTTTAATAAATTCGTTTTTAGATTTAGTAATTGATATATATAATTTTATACTTTACATATTTTAATTTATACTTTACATAATTTAGTTTAATAAATTTTATTTTATTCACCATTAAATTATATATGAGTTTAATAAATTCGTTTTTAGATTTAGTAATTGATATATATAATTTTATACTTTACATATTTTAATTTATACTTTACATAATTTAGTTTAATAAATTTGTTTGAATTTCACCATTAAATTATATATGAGTTTAATAAATTCGTTTTTAGATTTAGTAATTGATATATATAATTTTATACTTTACATATTTTAATTTATACTTTACATAATTTAGTTTAATAAATTTGTTTGAATTTCACCATTAAATTATATATGAGTTTAATAAATTCGTTTTTAGATTTAGTAATTGATATATATAATTTTATACTTTACATATTTTAATTTATACTTTACATAATTTAGTTTAATAAATTTGTTTGAATTTCACCATTAAATTATATATGAGTTTAATAAATTCGTTTTTAGATTTAGTAATTGATATATATAATTTTATACTTTACATATTTTAATTTATACTTTACATAATTTAGTTTAATAAGTTTGTTTTCATTTCACCATTAAATTATATATGAGTTTAATAAATTCGTTTTTAGATTTAGTAATTGATATATATAATTTTATACTTTACATATTTTAATTTATACTTTACATAATTTAGTTTAATAAGTTTGTTTTCATTTCACCATTAAATTATATATGAGTTTAATAAATTCGTTTTTAGATTTAGTAATTGATATATATAATTTTATACTTTACATATTTTAATTTATACTTTACATAATTTAGTTTAATAAGTTTGTTTGAATTTCACCATTAAATTATATATGAGTTTAATAAATTCGTTTTTAGATTTAGTAATTGATATATATAATTTTATACTTTACATATTTTAATTTATACTTTACATAATTTAGTTTAATAAATTTTATTTTATTTCATCATTTATGTTTACAAATAATTGTTAGGAATTTTTTTTTATAGATTATTAGGAATTGAATCTAGGGATGAATTTGTAGGAAAAAAAA